GGTGCACGACTGTAGTCGTCCAAGGTACGAGCCTCGTGACGGCGAAGGGGAAGCGTCTAGGGAGCGAGGAGCAGCACGGCGCCGGGGAGGGAGGGCATCGCACATCAGGTATCGTCGCCGTTATCACCAGGCGAAGAGGCTGAACGCCCTGCAGCAGTCAAGGCACGCTACATGCCGCACCTTCGCCGCTATATCGGTCTCCACCGGGACGCGCTGTGCATAATGCTGGTGCTTCGGCTACCGTGCCGTCATCGTGACTGATCGACACCCCAGCGACCCCCATGCCTGCAGACCGCGAGGTGCCACGCGTTGAACGCCACGACCGTGTCCACCGTGCTGCTCCCTCCTACCGTGCGCCCGATAGCAGCCGTGTTCACCATGCTTGGCTATCCGTAAGCAAGACGCCCTCGGCCGGCTGCGGAGGCTGCAGCTCGATCTCAAACCTGGTCGGAAAACAGGCGCTTGGGCGTGGATGTCACCGAAACCGTTGTTCGGCGGCCTCAGTCCTAAGCCGGCCCGATCCCGAGTCGGCGAGTCATCGTCACCGTCTCTGACGACACACAAAGTTGACGCCGAAGGGGAAGCGGGGTCTTCGCCGTCGTCGTCATCCTGATCCAGGACGACACCGGCAAGGGCAACCGCCTAGCCAATGCATCGACACCCACCTTCGCCGAGCTCCGCGAGCTTACAACAAGCTCAACATGGCTGGCCACAAGCTGCGCGTCATGGAGACGGGATTCTTTGCTTTGCTGCAGAAGCTCGAGGCTCGACCTGTCCGAGAACGCGCTGCCCGCGCTGGCGCAGCGACACACATACACCTCTCCCACCAGCACCTTTGTATTACTGCGCCGCGCGCCTGGGAGGTACGCAACCACTCTGGCTTATGCCACATGGGTTGCCTGCCTGCTTCACGGCAGGGGCCCGCCGGTATGAAAAGGACTGCCGGAGCGATAATGTTTGGCTGGGGAAGGTCGGAGGTGGGGGAAGGACCGAGAGCCACCAGGACCTCTAACATCAAGTGCAAAGTACAGTCAATACGAGACCGGGCGAGATGATCGAGTTCGTTCATGCACCACACAGAAAAGACAAATTTGTCTTTGCTACTTGAGTACTTGATTTGAATTCGGGATCGACTAAGAACCCTCCACATTTCGAACAGCAGACTGTGGGCTACGTGAGCTGGGGTCTCACACGCGCAGCACTGCATGCACTCGCCAAGCCGCCTTCGAAAGCGCTGGATGGCGGAGGTGCTGCGGCTGATAGTGCTCAAGGCCCTGGTGACCTTCAACCCCCAGTTAGACTCGTCAGTCGCATAGCTCAGCATGAGTCGCGTGCGTTCCGCCTATTCCTTTTCCGGACTTCCCCATCAACTTGGCCAGAGGCCTGTGCACCGAGGACGTTCTGGCGGGTGCGTGACCCCCCCCCCCTTTGCCAAGGAGGCGAACTTCCCGAGCAACCTCGGGACGCCGTACGAGAACCTGCTACCCACCGAGCGGTCGAAGGTGCTGGCCGGCATGCCCACCCTGCGCGTGCTGAGCTGCCCCGCGCTGTCCGGGGTGGAGGCCGTGGCGGCCTGCAGGTTCCTGCGCGAGGTGACGCTGTACTGTACGTGATGAGCACGACGATCTCCAACTAACCCGGGGCCGCGGCCTTCCTCCGAGGCGCCGAGCAGCTGCGCAAGGTCAGCCTGCGACAGCAGTGCGTGAAGCGCATGGAGTAAAAACTTCGAAGGACTGGCGCGATGAGCTGCAAATGGAGAATAGGAGTCGACGCAGCGCCGCCCCCTTCATTTTGCTTATACTGTACCGCATGTGGGGGTGCGGACAGGTTGCATACTCGCACAGGGTCGCTAGGCGCCGTGTTGAGCAAGGGTAGGCAAGCCCGCCCGCCCGCCTGCGTGCGGTACAGTATAAGCAAAATGAAGGAAGGGGCCTGTGGACCACCCTGTGTAATAAATTTCCTGTCACCTGCATCAATGTGCTCGAGGGCGAGCTTTCCGTGCGCGTGCAGCATATCCTTTCGCTCTTATTACCTGTTACACCTACCTCATTAAGGCCTGCGGCTGTTGGCGTACAAAGGGCACCGGCCAAAAAATGTATGATGTTGGGGTTCTGGACCAGCCCTTCCCCTCTCCCCCGGCGCCGCTTCCCCCCTGGCTGCCGGCTGCCCCGACGCACTCTTGCCCTGACCGCCGTCCTGAGCAACCAGTTCCTCTGTACCTTGCCCTCTCCCTGCAATAAACCCTTGCCATTCCGAACCGCCCTTCTCTTAACAATACCCTGGTTTTGTGTTCTTAAGTGTGTCGTTCTTACTTAACACAAGCTCTCATGATCTGTACTACACCCCCCCCCCCCCGCATTGTTCTTGTCCTCGGCATGCGTGCACAGATCACACCTACCTGCGCAACTCTGCATTCTTTCGGTGTGGCTGCAGGATAATATAGCATTGCAAAAGACAGATCAGGACTCCAAGGTTAACAAGAGATAAGGCAAAGCAATATTTTGCACATGGCTGTAAACTAGTTTTTATTGCATAATAAGCGCGGGAGTTGCAGAGGCACTTCAGCTTCCGGGCAGTGATCGACAGGGGTGGGCAGATTCTGCTGGTAAAGTGAGTCCGAGGGGTGCCCAACTCCATAAAAATGTGTACACCGGATTACCAAATTGTAAAGATTACCAGGGATTACCAAGGATTACCAAAGATTACCAATGAATACTAGGTATGATTCGCCTGCATTCTAAATCGAAACAACCATTTTTTGTCCCGAGAAAGATGCATTATGGTGCACATTTTAGGTAATTCTTAATTCTTCATCTTGCAAGTTACAAACTTGCATTCTATGATTGGACAAATTATGTTTTCGTCCATGGGGGGATGCAAATACGTCATATTAAACATGGGCGTTTGCATTTAGACAAGATGTCCACAAAAATGCATGTCTCAATCAACAAATTTGTCCTTTGAAAGGACCCTCAAGAGTGCATAGATTACCAGGGATTACCAGTGATTACCAGTGATTACCAACTCTGTGTACACCTGATTACCACAGTTGGGCACCCCTCGAGTGAGTCACGGAAAGCGGTGCAAGCGAAGCGGGGAGAGTGCACACGCCTCCCTCCACAGCACCACCACAGGGACATGCAACAAAAAAGTACAACGAACAGTTAGCAACAGTAAACGCGGTCGTCGTGAAGCACTTGTTGGTGACAGCGAGGGCGTCGGACGGTGGCTGAGAGGCTCAAACGCACAGCCCCTGCAGAGCGGCCGATAGGCAACCAAACCTGCCGGGTGTGGGCGGTTGCCTACCCGCACGGCGCTCCTTCCGACCACACTGCACCCGATGCACTACGATGCGATATCGGCGCGTGACGCACTCGCGCAATGTACCGAGAGAATAACACACATACACACACATATCAACGCTCGCGATTTGCTATCGGAGAAATGGAGCACGATGTATTACCCTGGGTATGCACCTTCGGGGTCGGTTCCTTCCCGGGGGAAGAGGCTGTCATATATAGCGCTTAAATGACCGATTAACCATCAACCAACACCACCGGGGAACGGGGCTCTTGTGACGCCCGGTGTGGTGGACGGTGTGGTAGATTACCCTTTGCCCAGGTGGAACTTTTAGCTTAATCAGTTAAAAATTGCTTAGCATGTCAGGGACGGAGTGGTACTCAACGAATGGAAGTGTGTGACTTACATTGAAAAATGTAGACGTGTCTGACACAGAAGAGACTGGTTGTCACCCACCTTTTTGAAAGTGGCATAAACGAGCTTTCGCTTCTCTTTTTTTTTCTTTTCATTAAAAAAAAAATCATTTTTTTTTCAGTTTTTTTTTTTTTTTTTTTTTTTTTTTTTGGTGGGACAGAAAGCAGGTGGGACAAATAAACAACGGGGCTCGAGGGTGGCACAAAATACAGGTGGCATAAAATACACACACATTTTTCTTTTTTCTAAAACATAGAAAATATGCTTTTGGGAGGTGGCAGGAAATGCAGGTGGCACAAAAAACACACAGAAAAACACGGCGCAAAAAACGAAACTGAAAAACTAATTTTGAGAGGTGGCAGAGAAAATAGGTGGCACAAAAAATACACGAAAGAAAAAAAAAATATTGCAGAAGTATTTTTGCGTGAGATGGCACAAAATATAGGTGGCACAAAAAACACACCAACAAAAAAATTTTTGGAAAAATAAAAAAAAACACTGTTTTTCAGAGAGGTGGCACGAAATACAGGTGGCACAAATGAATCCCACCGGGCAAAAGTGATTTTTTTCAATTTATCGAAAAAATTGATAATCCTTCTACGAATGGTCAGGATTGGCAAGAGAATCATGACTGGTACAAAAATGTCCGCGAGGACAATATTACCCCACAAACATTGGAAAATGCTGATATAAAACTCACACCATTCGAAATTGCATACAATAAATGTGTTTTCCAAAGTCAAAACAATGGTACACCTTACAACAAATTTCTAGGTACAGCCGACTTAGCTTGTGGAAGCTCAGGTGAACTCTGTAATGAATATTTTGCCCCTCAAGAAACACCTCAATCTTTTTTGATGTCAGCTCAACATACAGAGACTTTGAAAGAAAATCTCAACCAAAATGTTAGTAAACTTTGTGTTTTTTGTACTTTTTGAATGAAATTTAATATATTGCAGGCTGTCTAAATCACTTCTCCCTTTTGATTTCAGGAACAGAAGAAGGGGCGTGCTCTTATAAAAACGAGAGATGCTGGATTTATGGATTTTCCAGGTAGTGGATCTGAGCCTGAAGTAGTATCTGGAAATTGCCTATATCTATTTGATCCACAAATGGACCAAGGTAGGAACACAAGTCCAGATCTCACCTACTCTCACAATTGTAGGCGTCCTAATGTTAGAAACATTAATGGCCGTGATAAATCATTGAAAGCAATCATTGGTCGCCAGGAGAAGGCAATAAGGGATCTGCATGCTAAACTTTCTGATGCTCTTCAAGTCATTGTAAGTTGTGTGCTGCTCGCTGGTACTCCTTATTGTTGTGTCAAAACAAGTCAATATGCGTTTTTTATTTCAGAAACAAGCTAATCTTATGAACCCTGAGCTGATGCGTGATCTTTCTGGTGGTGAAAAGACTGGTGAAGCAGAAGCATCCTCTATAAACAGAGATACCAGTGTATTTGATCTGGTTGATATTAAGAAGGTACTTTTAGCATCTTGTCTTACAGTACAAACTTTCAACGGAGTGTTTTAGCTGAGACATTAACATCATTCAATCTTTCCAGACTATACATACATTAGACAAGTCTTGTGAAGAGGAGCCAACAAACAGTGGCCAAATGAAATCTTTCTGTTCGTATCTAGGTTTGTTTTAAATTATTGTATCTTATGTTTTGTACATGTGAAGTAACTTTTTTTTCTTCTCTTTTCAGTGTGATGTTTTTTTGTTACATTTGGCCTGTATTTCTCTTGCACCAGCACTTTAAATTGTAAGTTGACCAAGTTTTTTTTAAAGTCTCTCCTGGGGGACACCCGTGTGTGGGTGTTACGAAGTTCTGGAATTGTAATGTGGCAAATGCGTAGAAGCAGCGGAGGACTTAACCCATTTCAATGGGTGTACTTTATGTTTTCGTACTCCATTTGATGTTTTCAACAAGTCCCCCTAATAATATCAGTGGAAATGATCCGGTATTGGACAATATCTTTACAATTAGTAATATGACTTGTACAGAGGTAGACCTAAATCATCGATTTGTGACAACTGTAACAGGAACCATAATCAGAAAGACACATTAGAATCATATTTTATCATATGCTGAAGGGTCTTGTGAAATGACTATGAAACTAATGTGACTTTATTTTCTAATTTTGAGTTTTGTTTTATAGCTGGTATTAGTCTTGTGAAGCCAGCGGGAAGTTGAAAGCCACACCTTTTATTTGTTTTCTATAACCTGATTGGCTGCAACCACTTCGCAAAGCCGTGTCACTGGCTTCACAAGACTATTAAGCTTTTTCTGGTGCACATTAGTAATGTTCGACTTCAGTTTTAGTTTTGTTTCCATTAATATGCTTAAAAGCATCTGTCCTCTTTTAAAACTTCTATCTTTATGTTTGTTCTGAAGCAGCAAACCAGCATACTGGTTCTCTGCCTGCTTTTAATAAAAGTGTTTGATACTCAAAAGGTTTATCTGTCTCCCCCCAAAATATGTCACAATAAGGCTGTCTGCCTGTTTGTACAATTGCCAAATTTTGGCGGGATGCATATCAAGGTTCCTTCACCCAGAATAGAAGCTCCCATTCAAGAAATTGAGCAGTTGAAATTTCAATTTAACATTTATTAGCTATTTACAACTTTACCAAACAAAGGTGCATAAATGCGTCGGAGTGGCTGCGGTGCTGCTCCGCTCCAGGGCACGTCCTACCTCAGTCGCTGCCCCTTGCCGAACCCACCACTGCGCTGACGGGGCGCGGGGGGTTCGGCGCTGGGCTGGGCCAGGGCTCGAACTTCTACGCACTGGATGCCGGACAGTCCTGTGTGGGAGACGGGCACGGGCAGGCCCTGCAGGCCGGGCTGGAGGCCGAGCTGGAGGCCGCGCAGGAAGACGAGCTGGAGGCCGGGCTGCAGGCCGGGCTGGAGGACGAGCTGGAGGCCGGGCTGGAGGACGAGCTGGAGGACGAGCTGGAGGCCGGGCTGGAGGCCGGGCTGGAGGCCGAGCTGGAGGACGCACCGGAGGCCGGGCTGGAGG